CCTCATGATGTCATTGTTTTTCTCTGCTGAGTAGTATTCCATTGTGTATATGTGCCACAATTTATTTATCCATTCTTCAGTTGAAGGGCATCTAGGTTGCAGAAGAGGCAATTTTATAGTGACAAAAAGTAGATCAATAGTTATGTATGTGGGGTGGAGGGTGATGTCTGGCAGGTGTGAGTTTCCCTTTGGGGGTGATAAAAATTTCTAAGTGGATTGTGGTGATGGTTGTGGAAATATGTGAATCTACTAAAAAAGAAAACACATTGGATCAGAGCTGGAGAGCCGTCTCGTTGGCCAAGTGCTTGCCACTTAAGCTTGAGGGCTTGAGTTTAGTCTCTAGCACCCATGTGTTAATGCCAGGCATGGTGTATGCCTACGATCCCAGTGTTGATGAGGCAAGGACAGCAAGATCTCTAGGGTTTGCTGGCCAGTCAGTCTAGTTGAATCGGTGAGCTCCAGGTTTGGTGAGAGACCCTGACTCAAAAATAAGATGGAGAGTGATTGAGAAGGGCACCGGATCTCTGACCTCCATAATATACACACATGTGCGTGAGCACCAGCACACACATGAACACACACACACACACACACACACACACACACAAAGATCTACCGAATTATACAGTATATGAATTAAATCCCAATAAAGCTGCCTATTCTTAAAAAGCAACTATCTTGTCACAAACTGCCATCTACCCAGAATTCTCTTGTTTTGCAAAATGCTAATTATACACAAATGTCAGTCCTTCCATTCATTGTAACGCGTTTCATGAGCAAGGCCTTGCAGACAGTCACAGCGTGACATTCTGTCGCAGGGGCTGAGTGCTCCCTGAATGAGGCTTTATGGTCTCAGTCTTTTACTCTCTGTATAAGCCACGGTGATGCAGAGCGGAGCGGCCATGATAAAAGCCCCTTTTGGCCTCTGAATCAATCTCCTCCACTTGGGGGATCACAGCCCCTCACTGGCCTTCAGTGCAACCCACAGCCGGCTGCCACAGCCATGAAAGGACGCAGATATCTTCCTTGTTGACCATTCCCCCCTCCCCTCCCCGCCGCCGGCAGACAGACCCCTTCCCAGCCCTTCGCTGGGTTCCAAGGGCTGTCAGGGTCACTTCCAACTCCCCAAGCTTCTCCCACCCCCTGCCCCGCCAAGACATATTCTGCTTTCCATCTTGTCAGACAACAAAGACACTGGAGGAATTTATTTATACCTCCAGACAGCTAATGAGACAATTCAATGAAAAGCAGCCCCAGCTTGCTGGAGCCTCCCTGGGCCTTTGATTGCCTTTTCTGTGTTCCAATTCCCAAGCATTTATTCTACATATAAATTTTCCACGGTGAATAGACACCATTCTTCTGAGAAACTCATTTGTTCCCTTGGCCATTTTATTTCAATCCCTTGTTTTGCTTTTTATTATTATTGTTAAACTGTAATTAATTCTTCTTCCATCAGCCCCTCTTTAGTGCTCTCTGCCTAATGTAGCATGAAGTGTCTTTGCTCACCCCCAACTGCACACCTATTCTTGAAAAGAATGAAGCCTCTGACAACCCCAAAACCCACAAGCTGCTAAATCTTTCCCTCCGTGGAATGGGGCCGGGGAGGGAGGCGGGGAGGGAGGAAGGTCTGGGCAGGCAGGGCTGAACGATTTCAAAGCCAAACGACCATGGATTTCAATCTCGGTAAAATGGAGTGTACCCAGCAGACAACCTCTACAGACACTTTAAAAGCTATATAAGAAGGATTTAGAGAGATGGCTTAGTGGTGAAGAATACTGTTTGTTCTTCCAGAGGACCTGGGTTCAATTCCCAGTACCCACATGGCAGCTCATAATGCTCTGTAATTCCAGGTCCTAGGGATCTGATGTTCTCTTTTGGTCTCCACGGGCACCAGGCACACAATAATAGATAGGCACGCAGGTAAAACACTGATACTCATAAAAAGAAATTTATTTTTTTTAAGTTATACACAAAGGGGCTGGGGAGAGGGCTCAGTGGGCAAAATGCTTAATGCATAAGTGTGAGAACCCAAGTTTGGACTCCTTGAGCTTGGATCCCCATTCCCACGTGGTAAAGCTGGGTATGGGGGCAAATACCGGCATATGTCTGTGAGCCCAGCCCTGGGGGACAGAGATAGGCTGATCCCTGGAGCTCACAGGCCAGCCAGACTAGACAAATTGGTGAGCTACATACTGGTTCAGTGAGAGACTGTTTCAAGAAAGACTGTAAGCAGTGCTCCATGTTGACCTTTGGCTTCCACATTTAGGACAGACATACAGAGAAACTGATGTAAGCATAGAGACAGAGACTGGATGTGTTTACAAGAGACACTCAGCATTTCTAGGTAGTACCAGAGGCTCCAAAAGAACTAATTGGATTCCCTCCTGGCTCCATTTGGAGTGAGGCCCTGCTGACAGCTTGATTTCAAACTTCTAACCTCTGGAACTCTGAGAGGAAAAATGAAAAATAAAAACAAAAACACTATTAGGTTGAACCACTAAGTTTACGGTCATTTGTTATAGTAGCCACTGGCAACTAATAGTATTTCCATAGTTGGTCAATTCATTATGAGCAGAGAACACGGAAGGGGAAAACTGAGCGCTAGACACAAAATCTTTGCCTTCAGAGTGTGGATGACAAAACTGTTAATCAATGGAGGCTGTCCATAGAACTCAGGCCTAAAGCATGCTTTGGATGCAGAGAATAAATTATTGCTGAGCTGGTTGTCCATAGCTTTACTTTTCATGAACATTTTCTCTTATGCACTGAAGCATGATGTATGGTTGGCTAGCTATGACTTTGTTTCTACCTGACATTTTTTCCAAATGATTTTTTTTTTTTGAGACAAGTTCTTACTATATAGCCCTGGATGGCCTAGAACTGAGAGATCTGCTTGCTTTGCCTCCCAAATGCCGGCATTAAAAGTGTGTGCCACCACACTAATCTCACCTAAATGATTTCTAAGTTCAGATTTCTGCCCCTCCCCAAATTTTCTCTCTCTATGTTTTTTAACACCTGGAAATAATTAATTTCTGAGTAGTTAGAGAAGTTTCCCATTGAAACTTGGGGATCCTTTTCAATGGGAGAGGTTTGCTTGGCATCCTTCTGAGAAGTCATATCGTTTTTGTCTAAAGGAGTGGCATATTCCAGCAGGCCAAGACATTATATGGATGTTTCACCCCATCACCCAGGGTTCTGGCTCTTTGTTCATTCATTCACTCAACAAATGCTATAATAATGATGATGATAAATTATATTAACATACAATTTATATTAAAAATACAATTTATTATTATTTATCATTAATATCATCATTATTGTTGTTGTTATTGTTATTTTGAGAAGGGTCTCATATAACCCAGGCTGGTCTCAAGTTTAATATGTAGCTGAGGATGACCTTGAACTTAGGGTCCTTCTGCCTCAACTTCCTGAATGCTGGATTTATAGCCATGTACCATCATTCCCAGTTTTATGTAGAGCTGGGGTCAAATCCAGGGCTTCGTGCATGCTGGGCAAGCACTGTACCAGCTGAGCTACATCCCAACCCTGTTCTAATTCTGTTTTCTCATCAGTTGATTGCATTTTTTCTAAGGATCCAGTTTTCTTTGTCACTCAATGTATTTGAGAAACTTCTGGCCATTTTCCTTGTAAACTCAGCTCATTTCTTCCCCTCCTGCCAAACTCTTATGTCATCTCTGATGTACTTCCCTGCCTGGCCCTTGGGACTTCATTCGAGCTACTTTGGGCCCACGTTATTTTTTACTGCTCCATAGAAATAGTGCCGAGCAGTACAAATAGGAACTGCACATAAGTGACCCATGGAATAAAAGTTAAGTTCCTAGATGTTTTAATATACTGTGATATTATCCTGTGGGGAAATGTTTAAGAATATGTAAATTGCTGCTTTTTTTTAAAAAATTATTTTAGATAGTATTCTCTTATAGCTTATAAAGTGGCTTTTTGCCCTAAATGGCATCTTGCTGTTTGATGTGTTGTGGTTGTATATGTGTTTACACCTCTGTGTGTATGTGTGTGTGTTTGCACACAAAAATCCCTCTGGTAATAGAAAGTTTTTTTTTTCTCTTCCCATAACTCAAAAGTCCACTGAATGAATTTAATTTAAATTACTTCTCCCAACCAAAATAAATAAATTATAAATATTGTAATAAATAGGATAAATTATGGCCTAAAAGTTACTTCTTATTTGTAAAAATTGAAAAAGTGAGTATGGTTGAGTCTGTGAGTCTGTTGTTCAAATCACCGGTCTGACTCTTGGCAACAGCACCCTCAAATAACTTCCCAGCTCAGCTCTGCGGCCTGAGCCCGCTGGCAGGGGCCCCAGGCTCTGTGCTGATGAAGGCTTTTCATTTCTGTCAGAGCCTGCGGTGACCCCAGACCCACACCAGCAAAACAAAGAGGCGATGTAGAATTTACAAAGCTCAGAGGGACCATCGCCAATCGCCGCTAATTTGCTGGGCTTAACATCTTCCTCTGGCTTGAGTGCAGGACTCCAATGAGAAACAGACCCTTCATTCTTACAGAGAAGCCCCCAACACTGCCTAGGAACAGGGCTCCCCAGGAAGGCAAGAACTGGGAACCCCACAGAGAAATACTGTAATTCTCTTCCATTAGCAGAGGCTGTCTGCGTTAATGGAGGGAACAGCATTTCTGGTGTTTTCTTGTCACCCCTGATGTGACTTATGTCCTAGCAGTGGAGAACAGTGACCCCAAGAAGACAGTGCCCTGGGGGTGCCTGTGGAAGACACGGGCTAAGTGTATTTCTTTGTTCCTCGTGACTGTTTAAAAAACAATCCCGGGAATCTAAGGGAAATGTCCAAGGTTTCCCTGCCCCTTTTTATGAATTCAGGGACTTATCAATTGAGTCATGCCTACTTGAGGTTCTGTTCCCAGATGAGGCTGACCTCTCTGGTGCCAGCACTACCCATGGGCAGAACAGATCCCAGGAGTGCCAGGATTCCAAGTGTCTCGTGTTTGTGGCGAGATATGAAAAACAGTACAAATTCTGGTTGAAGAACTCAGCCCATCCTCTTCTCCCGGCTTGCCCACTTAGGGTGAGCTGAGCACTTGTAACTCTGGCTGAGAGACAGAGGCCTCCTTAAGGTGATCCTGGCCAGGATCTTCCCAGAACCCACTGGTGAGAGTTGATTCCTGCACTTTTGGGGTGGGCATGAATTTGTTGCCCTACAAATTTTTCATCCACACAGTGCGTTGTTACACGAGGAAACAGAACAGAGAAGGGCCTGTTTCTGAGTTAGGAAGCCACACTGAGGTCATCAATCAATCACTGTAGGCATAGCTTCAGGTTAACATTGACAGTCAACTTGGCAGGATCTAGAATTGCCTAGGAGACAAACTTCTGGCCATGTCTGTGAAGGATTTTCTAGATTAGGTTGAGATGGGAAGACTCACCCTAAATGCGGGTGGCACCATTCCCTGGGCTGGGGTCCTGGAGTGAATAAAAAGGAGAACTGAGCTGAGCACCCAGCTTCCTGACTGGGGATGCCACGTGACCAGCCATGTGACCAGCTGCCTCTTGCTCCTCCTGCATCACATGACCAGCTGTCTCCTGCTCTTCCTGATATGCCTTCCCCATGGTGAGAGATGTACCCTCAAACTCTGAACCAGAAGAGACCCTCCCTTCTTTAAGTTCCTGTCAGGCATTTTGCCATGGCAACCAGAAAAGTAACTAATACACATGGAAAATGTAAAACAGGCTACAATAATAGGGAGTCCCTAGAGGGTAGACTAATTGTTAGGTAGTTAGGAGGAAGAATCTCTTCAAAAAAGTGACACTCTGGGGTCTCTTTGATGGAATTTGAATAAACTTAAAATAAGGCACAGCCCAGGCTTGAGAGGCCATAGGTTAGGCTTAAAGTCAGATTATAGTCAGATGTCTTAAGTTTGGTGATGGTCATGAGACAGGCTTACCATGTATGGTTCAGGCCTGTACAATCCGGGTACCTGAGTGTCCTAAAATTCTACTGTACTGCTTTCCTGCTTCATATTGTCCTATTGGCCTCAGTCATCCTCAAACCCTTAAGAAAGAAAGGAAATCTGACATGTGGAAAATCTTACACTATTTGAGCCTTAGAAAACAAAGAGTGGGAGACGTTTACTCTGAGGACAGATGACAATAGAAAGATGAGGAATTCTGAGGAGTCAGACATTTGAAGTGAGCCAACCCGGCAAAATATGAATGCCCTTGGGACCCCTCAGAAATTCTGAGCAGGGCAGTAAATTTTCCATGACACATCATGGAAGCTGGAGCAAGGTTAATTGGCCACTGGAGGAGAGGGATTCCGAAAGACCAAAGATCCTAGGGGCTGTGCGGGGTTAATATAACTAAAAACATGCTAATTGATTTTTAAAAAATCAGAAACCTATAAAGAAATAAAAACTGCTGGCGCAGCATTCCCATCCATTTGGCATAATACAGTCGCGCATTAAAAAGTAAACTCACACGATGCCCTCTCCAACTTCCCTCTCGGCAGGTCCATTCGACGGTCCAGCTTTTAGAGTAATGCAGTCCACAGAGTCAGCAGCATGAAGATCCATAAACCATTTCGACATCTAATAGAGCTTTAAAAGGGGCCCTGAACACTGGAGGGTAAGTGGCCAGTAATGGCTGATCTGGGTACAGAGGGGGAGGAGAGAGGGCCCAGGGCTTCAGGAGAAATGGAATAGGCCCTGTAAGGAGAATTTTTACAGCAGCTGTAAAAGCAAGGCTCATGTGCACACACAGCTAGATTCTGTGTTGGCCAAATACACCCGGGACTCCCACGGTCTGCGTTGCCAGCCCTGGCTTCGGTTCTGGCAGCTTCTATCTTAGAGACCCAGTGAAAACACTTCAAGAGAGAAAGAGGCACCACCAAGGTATTGTGGAGCCAGGACAAGGATGACTCCCGAAGGATCTCCCTGTTACCAGGAGCTACGTGCAGCAGGCGGTCCTTCCTGCCAATGGGCTCCTGGCAGGTGATAATTACTATTCAGCTCCAGCTTTTGGCTCTTGGGAACCAAACAATGGTGTAGGCTCAGGGCTGGGGGCCATGCCTTGCAAACATGGAAAGGAAAGCCTGGACTTGCAAAATGCTATGGCTGAGGGATGTGGGCTCTGCAGCCCCTTCCCATAGGGATTCGGAGCGGAAGTGTTCAAGCATCAATACTCCCTAAATTCTTGGAGAAGTTAGCACACATCAGCTTCCCCATGACTCCCAGTTTAGAGAGACTGGGAAAGGCAGGCTGGTTGGTCACACGCGGGCTGACAAATGTGGCAAAAACCCTGATTTGTGACATTTACGGATTTCCACCGGAGTGTTCTCACCAAGTCACAGGGCTGGGAAGATGGGTTCACCGTCTCCTAATAGATGGAAGCTCAGGGTCAGAGATCACAGTCAAACATAGCAAGAAAAATAAGGAAGTGATGATGTGCTTTGTGAATTAATCACCTTTGGCTTTTATATCATCTAATTTTAAATTTATATATTTTTATTTTTAATAATCCTTATATTTTAATACTGCCTTGTAAAATGAGAATTTACCCACTGCCACTTGTGAACTAATAAACTAGCTTATTCCAGGCCACCACTGGCCAACCCTTGGAATCTTCTTTTGGACACGGGGACTTAACTCTAGAACCCAGTCTAGCCTCAAATTTATGGTAATGCTCTTGTCCCAGCTTCCTAAACACTGAGACCACAGGAGCAGGACACCACGTCCAGCCTTCTCGAGCCTTCTTGCTTTGGGTTCGATCTCGTTTCTTTCTATAAATTTCCCCTATACCTTTATCTTCTTTCTTCTCTTCTATTTTTTTTCCTCTCTAGACTTGTCTCTCCACATCCTTAGTCTTCCCTGCTGAGTATGTCTGTGGAAGAGGAGAGACTAATGGTGCCCACCCACACCCATTTACACTCTTCCTTGGGCACGGCAGGGGTGGGGGGCGGCGGGTAGGGGTGTGCTTTTTCTGTCTTCCAGCTCTGGTCACTGGGCTGTGAATGAATGTGACATGCTTCACTTGTAGACTGCAACATTAAATGATGATGTGAGGCCTTTTAATGCTCTCTTCCTGTGGCGGCAATCTTGGAAATGGCCTTGTGTTAATGGCAGGGCCAAGAGCTACAAGGGGCTCAGGGCACTGGGTCGGTGCACAGGGATAGCTGCCCAGTCACCTGAATCCACAGCTGATTTTGCATAGGAAGCAAGCATCGCCCCGGTGAACCACAGAGATTCTGGTGTTGCCTGTTAAAACAGTAGAACTTGGTTTGTCCGAATAGCCAGAGACCAACTGTAGGCTTTTATTACCAGGAACCCCAGTGCTTCTCACTGCAGTCTGTCTTCCTCCACCAAGATTTTTAATTGTCTAGGAATCTCTGTGTGGTATAAGTTTTTTTGGTTTGTTTTCCTGAGGGACTGGACATTTCAGTCAGCTCTTCCCAAGCAAAGGCCCCGATCTATGGCTTGCAGCATAGAATGGCTGCCTGAAGTATAGACAATCCTAGCTTTTGGTTTCTTTCTTTCTTTTTTTTTTTTTTTTGGTTTTCGAGACAGGGTTTCTCTGTGTAGCTTTGCGCCTTTCCTGGAACTCACTTGGTAGCCCAGGCTGGCCTCGAACTCACAGAGATCCGCCTGCCTCTGCCTCCCGAGTGCTGGGATTAAAGGCATGTGCCACCACCGCCCGGCAGCTTTTGGTTTCTTCAGTGCTGTGGTTTTCAATTCCCCACTGGTCTGGATCCTTATATTTAGTGATACTCATTTTCTCAGGTGTGTTCCAGTGAGATGTCAATCTCATAGATGTGAGAAGAAAGACCACCGACCCAAATCATGGCTAAATTAATGAAAGCAAGCCTTTTTATTCATGTATACATGTGGTCTCTCCCTAAGGTGAGGTTCAAGAGATCAGCACTGGACATGGGTAAGATAAGGGGTTTTATAGCTTCAGAGTAGGGAGTTTCCAAATGGGAGACTTGGCAGGCAAATAGGTGGGTTACAGAAGCAGAACAGCCTCCTGAAACAAAGACACAGTTACAAGGTGATCATAACAAGGTGGTCATAACAACCTTTTGAAACAAAGGTATGGTTTTGAAACAAAGGTTGCTGTTTTCCAGAATAAGCAGTACGGAATCATTTGTAGTTAAGGTTACAAATGAGGCATAGCCCAGTCCTTGAGAAACAGATTTAATTATAAATAAGAATGAGCTTAGTTTGTCCTTACTATACAATGGCTTTCAAGCCCAAGATGGAGGTGGGCTGATTTATCAGAGACTCCCCACCATGGAGGGGCACAGATGGAAGGCAAAAAGCCTCACCAGACTGTCTACAAGATGATGGCTGAGAGTACTGGAGAGTATGGGGTCTGGAGTCTTAACCAAAGTATGGAATCTCTATTCAGGTTTGCCATCTATAAATTAGGGATAAAAACAGTGCCAGTCTCACGGAATGATGGGGTTACTAAAGGAGACAGAGCAACTGTGTTTTGTATGCTGCCCTACTGAGCATTGGTGGGGCTGGGCAGATGGTTCAGTCAGTGAAGGGCTTGCTACACAATCATAAAGATGGGAGTTCAGATCCTCAGCACCCACGTAAAAGCCAGGTGTGGTGGCCTGTCTGTAGTGTGTCTGTAACCTTAGCATTGGATGGGGGCAGAGACAGGATGTGGGTTCTTGAAGCTGATTGACCAGCCAGATGTACCAGTCAGTTAGCTCTGGGATCAGAGACAACCACCCTGGCTCAAAAAATAAGGCAGAGAAAAATAGAGGAAGAC